CTAACTCGTCGTGTAAATTCTCTTTCTCTTTTTCAAGCTGAATCATTTTGTCGTTAACAAGACCTAAAGAAAAATCTGTACTTTCTGTCTTATTTTCAATTTTTTCTATTCTTTCATCTGATTTTTTGCTTTTGTCTTCGATATAAACCCATAATTTTTTCATCTCCTTATCAAAATTTTCAACTTTCATTTCTAATTTCTCTAGAGAAATTAAACGTTTATCAACACTAGACAGTTTTTCATTTATCATTTCTAAATATGTTAATAAATCTGAGTTTGTTGGCTGGTGTTTACCTTCTCTGCTGGTGGCCATATTGCCTGAACGTCGGTGGGTGGGGGCCTCAAATTCAGACTCCTGATCAAACACACTGGTGAGATTTAAAGCACAACTATCGTCATTATTTTTATCATTGTTATCATAAAGTACCTTGTTTGTCTGACTAAGAATATCGCTTAAATTTACATCTTCAGGTGTCGCTGTAAATCTTCCCGCTTTTATTTCAGAGTCATTGTTTACACTGTCATCACTTTTTTTCCTTTTACCGTCCCTATTTCTATTTCCTCTCCCCATCAAACTCTTTTTTTACATTACACACTTTACATCCAATGTTATTGTTTCACTTTAAACAAAAATATATCCATTTACTTTGCTTAATTTGGCAAAAATCTAATATTTTATCAGAGCAAAAAAATCATGTAATGTTGAAATTCCTCCGCGTGTATCTAAAGATAAATTGATTGACAGCCTAGGTAGACGTTTAATTGAATTTTGTCAAACAACATCGTATATCATATGTAATGGGAGGCTCCATAGGGACGCCAATATTGGGGAAAGTACATTTTGTTCAATATGTAGGACATATGGTGGCAGACCTTCGTTGATGAAATCAACTAAAACATGCATATTTATTTATGGGGGAAAAAGAAGAAGAAAAAACGTTCATCTTAATCGTGGGGAAACAATCAAACAAACAAACAAAAATGCAATAAGAACTGCTTGTCAAAATGGGAGATGACCGATTTTCCTTAAATCTTAAAGATAGTCGTTTAATTTATCTCGGAGACAATATTACAAGCAAAACAGTCCACATAACATTTTATAAATTCAAGAAATTAAATTTGCAAATTTATTTCGACAGAGAAAGTTGGAAGTCATACGATTTAAGAAACTTTGTCTTTCTTCTCAAAAGTTTTATTTCAGAAATATAAAAAATAGGTAAGGCAATACTTTATTTTGAAACACGTCTCGTGTTATGGTAACAACAAGTAATTATTTTATTAGATGTTTTTTTAATACTAAATGATAAATATAAAATTGTTCGATATGTGAACTTTACAAATTATACTTTCTGTACTAAAGAATAGAGTGTAAAATGTTACATCCATAGTATTTAAACTGTAACATGCAATCTATATATAGTATTTCATTAAAAGTGTAAACTGTTACCAGTATAGTATTTAACCTATATATATAGTATTTAATGTACAACTTGTATTTAAGCTATTACATATCATTTAACGCGCCTTTACACCATGTTTTCATATACTTTCTGTAGTATTTTTTGTATGCTTAAATAAGTCAATTATTAATTCATGTAGATACAGATCTGAAGAAAATTAACTTAAAATTAGGTGGTTAATCTTCAGCCGATATTCACCACTGTAATATGTGCTGTTGTGTTATCTTTCTTATTACTAGTCTCCCTAATAACCCTTTTAAGAACGTTTATACATTGAGCGTGTATTTTTACTTATGTAATAAGTTATTTATGTATTTGCAAAGATGAGAGTAAAATAGAAAACAAAACTATATAACTATACAACTTTACTAAGCATAAATGATACATTTAAAAATGTGGATAAAGTAGAAGACAAAGTTGACATTTTAATTTATTCCAGCAGGACCTAGATATACAATATAGCAGTGTATGACAAATATAAATATATCGTCATCTTAGTTTATAAAAAACATAAAATAATATTTACATTTTAATTGTTTATTATATTATAATATCAACATAATATTCTTAATTATTGTTAGTTTATATCATTAAAAGATGACTTAGTATTTTTATGATATAAGTCAAATTTGACTATGATTTAATTGAAGATATAAGTGCCTATCTGAAACGAAACTGTAATGCAGAACATATGGATATAACGTCAACAAAATAACCTCCTATTGAAACATGTCATATTTGCGGTGTCAATCATACCTTGTTATAGTGCCTTATTTCTTATGATAAATGCTTAACAGACGTATATTCCTAAGTTCCTAAGGTGTAAAAGCTACGATGTCCAATACTTTCGACAATATACTTTTTCTAACATAATTATTCGTTAAACATTCAATAACAAAACGATATATGAATTTAAAGTGTTCTGTGTATTTTTTTCACACCAAGTATTTTTATAGCCTTCTATAATTACTTTTCAATAATATATATATACATAAATTTGTCAGTCCACATTCTTCAAAATAGGAGGCACAGGCTTTTCTTCTGTGTATATAAGCACATTTATACAAATGTTGATAAGAAGTGAACATAGCTTATTGTGCCTGTACAGCTAATGTACAAACAAGCAAACTTCCTGTTATAAATACTACCCGAATATCAGAATAAACTGATAAACTCAATGGAATCATCATCATTATTATTATTATTATTTTATTATTATTATTATTATTATTATCATTATTATTATTATTATTATTATTATTATTATTATTATTATTATTATTATTATTATTATTATTATAAAATGTCCGGATGTATAATATTTATATAAGCACATTTTCTAAACATCATAATTTCAATTTGAGAAACGTTTGTATCTATTATTTTTTCTTTGTTTGAATCAGCACTCTTGAAATTATATAGTGTTTAATCTATACTTTCAATGGAAGAGAAATTATAGAGAAAGATCGGGTGTGAAAATGAAATCTTTTGAAAACTGTTAGCTTTTCTTGTTGCATTAAGAGGAATAAAGTGGTATATGGTACTACATGTTAACGAGGTATGAATTATGATATTGTTTAGGATTCAACAGTAACAAAATGTAAGGCTTTCAATATGATAAACCTGATAAATACCAACGAAAAAATCTGCTAATAAGCAATATCATGGTATTATAACATTCCATTTGCAACGAGAAAGATTAATTAAGTATAAATTCACATGGTAACATACAAAGCACATTTTCATGAAGGGTTGAAGATTGCGTATTTATTTTCGGGAATATGATTTGTTTGTATAGAATATCAAATACATCCTCGTAAAAATAATACCTCTTGAATAATGTAAGTTGAATAAATAAGCTTCATTGATGCTCTTATCATGTTGTCAACAGTTAAAGATTTCAGGGTGTTGATAAGACAAGCCTTATTGTTTTTTTGTTTGTTTTTTTCATCACGATTTTTATTAAATGCGAGCTAAAATATTACTTGCGTGTCCGATGTAAAGATTTTATAAAAGTTTTATAAAATAAAGGCCCAAATTCTTAAAATAAAACAATAAATAATACGATTAGAATTATAATGTTATCCTTTCAATAATACCATATTCATGTTTACTTATTCTTTATAAAACTAGATTCGGCAGGAGGGATTGTTAATAATTTAAGTTACAACTAAATTACTTATGACTTTAACAATTTGCATGATTTTCTTGTTCGTAACTATATTTATGATTATCTTAAAACTTTGGAAATCAAATGTATCAGTCAGCCTTCACTGTGGAAATAAATCATGAAATATGTACGACCATTAATAAGTTGAAATTCTAAAAACTCAATAAACACCTGCAAGAAGTTGTACGAATGGAATTAAATCTTCAGAATAAAAATAAAATGAGTAAAAGCAAGCAAGTCTGGATAAAACAATATTGAAATAGTTAAAACACGTTCCTTTGTTTTCGACACTAATTGTTAGTTTATTTAAGGTTTTGATCCATTATAGCAACGACTTCAATCGAGGTTTAAGGAGAACTTTAGAGGGCGTTATTACATGTATTACACCATCAGTTTCTGTAAAGTAAAATTGTTTTTATATTACAGATTTTTTAAATTACATTATAAATGAGTAATGCCTGGTAACTCTAGAAACGGTTTATACAGTCATAAGCTTGTACCCGTTTATAATGACAAATATTCCGTTGACTTGATGCGTGACTTTCTATATAAAATATGGTAAACAAGATCAACAAGGAAAGGTGGCGTGACTTTCTATATAAAACAAATCATCTCAGAGTTACAATATTTTCCTGTGCCTCGAGATGATCGATTTTAATACTTAATTGTATTAAAAGAATCTAATACTGCTTTAGCAGCTGCTAGCGTATTGCACCTTTCAGAATCTCTCTCGATCGAAATAAGTCTGTAATTTTCATATTTTTCTGATAAGGAATCTTTACAAGATACGGGTGTACATCAATAAATTTTGTGACAATGTCAATAAATAACGATTTGAATTAACGTATAATAAAACAATTTGTATGAAAGGTCAGCACAATTCTATCTTTATTAAACTAGATTGCTTTTAGTAATCTTGGAAACAATTGTTTGCATTTAATAATTTGTTTATTTGTTTCTTATGTTTCTTATTGTGCTGTCTTTTAATTCTCAGTTGGGAAGTGCGGTCTATGTAAAGAAAATCAATATGTTTCACTTGACTTGTTTTAAGGGATATCCTTATTTCAGTGCATTTCTGCTAAACCATTATACATAATGTTTATTACGGGACTCATACTCAAAATAACAACGTAGATTTCCTTGTATAAATACAATTGTTTCTCTAAGCGAGTAAGATTCGGAGACCTTCTTAAACTTTATTTTTCAACTCTCTTCATCAAAATGAGGTTCTCACTGTTCCTTGTGTTTGTTATTGTCGTTGGAATATATAGTTATAATTTCATGAGGCAAGAGAGCCTGTATGTTCTAAATTTGCATACGAAGAACAGCTTTTAGAGAAAATGATTAGGACTGAAATTAAGGTAGAAACAATGGTGAATGAAATTAAGAAAACTGAGGATAATGTCATCAGTACGTTAGGCGACATTAAACGAGCAGTTTCAGATTTTACGGACATGTTTGCGGACATGAAGGAGAACATATCGAACGAACTGTTAAAGGGAGGCGATGAGATCAAAAGGAGGGAAGGTAATATATCACATACATAGAAATGATACAGATATACAGAAATATTACTGGTGTATTACGAAAAATGACTTATATTTTAAACATATAATTTATAACTGGTTGTTGTTTAAGTCTGAATCAATATAACTTTAAAGTTTGTTTTGCTTTATTAAAACTTAAATGAGAAAATCTGTTATATTATTAATGCGTGAAATATTCAAAATTTAAAGAATCATTACTGTAAAAAGGAATCTATTTCATACACTTTAAATATTACTTTAGATATACCTAAATTTTGCATGTTTATAAACGGTAGTATATGGCATAAACTTTATTGCCGCAAACTTATAATCTACTTTCAGTTTGCTTAACCCGTCTCGTTTCGAAACGAAACATATAATTACATTATTATAAGCACAAATCAATAAATAAATCAAGAAAAAGTGAAAAACAAAATCATATCTAAAAATAACAACAGTGTTGAAAATGTGTAATTTTCACATGTAATTTTCATAAAAATGATTTTTGCGAATAAATCTCGAGGCCGCGTGCTAAACAATATGCTAGTACGAGCATGAACATGTATACAATTTATGAAATGACATCATTGTTACCCTTCTGCCCTATTTTTTGTGTGTTTATTTCTTTCTATTTGGTGCATCAAAGACCATTGCTGTATTTTTAATTATGTTTGCGATATTAATGTTTGTTTGTATACTTCTGATTTATACAAAACATGAATTACTGTACATATTAATGTTAAATGAATTACAATAAACATTTATGTTGAATATACCAAAATAAACATAATTTCCATGAAGGAAAACGCTGACTCATCAAATTGAGGAAAACGCTGACTCATCAAATTGTTTTTTTATAAGGGAAAATATTTCCTGATTTTCTATTACATTTATTTCATTTTGAATCACGCAAGGAAATAGCTAACACGTCAGCCAGTAGAAATTCGAAAAAAAAAAAAGATTATAGATGGGGAGCGAGAAAAATCAAAATATAAATTACTCTGTTTCTCTTCACTAAAGTTTTATTTAAGAAGTAACATTACTGGTTATGTAAAACTCAGGTTTTGTATTTTCAGCAACACGTTCTGTATACTGGTCATATGTACACATGTTATATAATACTTACTAATCTAATTCTTATGTTATGAGTAATAATTTTACTTTGATACTTTTAACAGAATCATTCAAGAAATTATTTGAGGAGACAAGAACCAACCTCACGAGTGACATGGAAGCTAAAAGACAAGAGGAACTTATTCAACTTATTGCTTTTTATTTCACCTCCACGTGATGATTACTTCCCTAAACGACGCTTTGATTTTATGATTTAGTTATTATATTATTCAGTTATGTCTTTTGAAGAGCATTCAAGTACAATATTCTATCAATAAACAGTTGTTGTAACTATAGACTAGTCCTTCCGGTCATCTTCAGAAGATTCAAGTACATGTATATTTTCTTATTTTGAATACATTTAATCATCTTTATTAAACAGATATGTTTTTATAATAACTCTTACATATCACAATTATTTTTATATTCAGGAAAACTTGAACGACCCCCGATCGCTTTCCATGCTAATTACTTGACAGATTTGGTTCATGATACTACAGATGAGATTGTTATATTTACAAAAAGTGTGATTAACGAGGGAACAGGGTACGACACTTCTACTGGGATTTTTACAGCGCCAGTTGGAGGACTGTACCAGTTTTCTGTGCATACATGTGTTTTTAGAGGATACTATGCTTTTATTGGTCTGGTATTAGACGGTAAAGTAATTGCAGGAGGTTCTAACTATGATAAGGATAGTTACACCTGTAGTACTGTTGGAGCAATAGTAAGAGTTAGATCAGGTGAAAAGGTTTGGGTAAAATCAAGATCGTCAAGTTCTAACAACCAACTATATCAAGACGCAATGAAGATGAACACATTCAGTGGAGTACTTGTCAATAACTGAATGAATAAATCATTCAACGTTTGTATGCTACATTATATATCTGAAGTTTTTATAAAATACATAAAATGATTATCGTCTGACGTATATTTTGATAAGATAAGATTTTGCTGTGTTTATCAGTGAACATATGTTACTATATTTTTGCGTTTTTAAATCAATATTGCATGTATACATTTGTGCTTTTTAAATTTTATTTTGTATATCATAACTGAATATATAATACTATCTCATGTTGTAATTAACTTTTGGAGGAAACAATGAGATGTATGTATGTCTGAATGTTGTTGCATTGACAGATATTTAGTCTTAATAAAAACCAATTTTAGGTAATTAGTAAATTTTACAAAACTTTTGAATTAGATTGAGCAATTCGGTAATGCCTATCAATTGAATCCACAAAATAAAGTTTTTTTCGAAAATAGTGATTGTGAATAGCTTTTCGAAATTTACATAACAAATATTTTAGCATTTACTTCCATTTAAGTAATTTTTGATCAAATTCAATTATTGTATTCAAATGAAATACGTTAGAAGGCTACGTAAACTGATTTTGTTACTGTACTTTATAGAGACATAGATTAAAGAAGCACTAAATGTTAGCTTTATATATTCAGAGTATCAATGAAGGAAATTTCTTTTTCTGTGTGTTAAAAATGAAATATTATAATCGTATAGGTTAATTAACAAATCTTTTGAAACGCTTTAAAATAATGGTGCTATCCTCAACAGAGGCTCGCTCGATTAAAAGAAAGTATTGAACGTTCACTCATTCAATATCGTCTATAAGTAAGTAAGTAAGTAAGTGAGTGAGTGAGTGAGTGAGTGAGTGAGTGAGTGAGTGAGTGAGTGGGTGAGTTGGTGAGTGCGTGAGTGAGTGAGTGAGGAAGGAAGGAAGCAAACAAGTACGCAAGTAAGTAGATGAATAAGTAAGTGAGCAAGCAAGTACGGAAGTAAGAATGCAGGTTAGCAAGAAAGTAAGCGAGCAGGTAAGTAAGTAATTAAGTAAGTAAGTAAGCAAGCAAGCATGCAATCAAGCACGCAAGCAAGTAAGTAAGTAAGCAAGCAAGCCGTCGACAACGTAATCGTTGATCTTGTATCAAAGAACACTTTTAATCCAAGGTAATCGACGTCTTGTTTTACGTCACAGGACCAATTGTTGCAGCAAACCTCATAATCATGATAAACATCCGTTTTTGTCAGCCTGTTATTGTCCACTAATAGTATCCTGCTCCAGAAGCGTAATATATATATATATATAAAGCGTCTATATAGTCAAAGTAGACAATCTGAATCCCGTATAATGCCTGCACCAAAAAAGTTATAAAGATGTTTGACAGGTTATATGGCCCTTTATCCAATATTTTACTTAAGGCTTTATGAAATTCCAAATTTTAGTCTCATACTATCTTTTATGTACCCTAAAATTCCTAATTTTAGCCATAAAAGTCCCCTTTTTTGTCAGAGGGTGCTGGACAGCCTGTAAGTTTTTAATAGATAACTTACCTGTTCAGGAATCAAATCAAGTATGTTTTATTTTAAAAGCAACATTATATTCATTGAAATAACTGTCATATAATTTTATCGTATATATGCAATAATATTTTTTTGCAAGGAACGCGTACACAAACATCTTTTTGTATAATGCATCAGGCGGAAACTTTGAAAGGCAGAATTAACTTAGATATTTACATTGTACTTGTAACATCATTGTTATACTACTTACGCATGTGAAGAAACGAGTATAATGTACTTGTCAGGTTTTTCTTTCAAAGGATAAAGCCTCAAGAAGACTAAAATATAGTTTGTATAGTGGTTACATCATTGACTATCTAAAATCAGAACACATATTTTACTTATGTTCTATTTTCATTGATATTTATCATGTTTTGGTTTTCGCTTATGTTTCTACAAAGGGATGTAAAACCGTTTGCAATCAGTGTTTGATAATAGTATTTGTTTTTTCCCTTGCATTATAAATAAATTCTAGACGATTTTCTCAAACTTGTCACTGCCAATATTTTCCCATCAAATTTACGATTTTGGATCGTAATAATCTATGCCTTGAATAAGCTAAACCTTACAAATTCGTTCGTTTTTTTCCCGTTTATGTTCATTGTTGACAGCAGGAAAGCATGAACATGGTAACCTGTTAGGTTTGTTTTTGTTTTTATTAAAAGGGAATTAACACATTTTCCATATAGTATTTGTTAAGAGTAGTCAATATTTCCCTTGAATTGAAAGATATATTACTTAAAATTTCGGACTATTAAAAAATCTTAAACTAGTAAATGCCAAAGTTTTTACATATATCAATTTACAATTTTAATCGTAATACTCTGTCATGAGTCAGCTAAACCATACTAACCTTTTTTTTTGATTTCGTAAATGATTAACTCTATGTTACATTTTTTTTTCAATTATCAGTTGATGAAACCGGTATGAAAATATCGAGTAGAAGTAATAGAAAGAACTATCAGGTTAGTTATCAGTAGACAGGAAGCTGACATAAATATATGTTTATTTTTTTATTAGCGATAATTGAAATACTTTGATGTAGAGGAGCGTCGAGGTGTGTTAGTCATATCACTTCAACTTTTTTCTTTTTTTTTGCACTAAGGTAACAGCACTGATATCCAACCCGGAATGTTATATTTTCTCTACACTTAAAAGTAGGGCCTCAAAATACAATAAAAATGAAAGGCAGCCTGGCCGGGATTTTAATCAGGTACCATCGAAATATTGTACCGCGAATTTACCGATTAAACTAACCGACGCTTATACATTATCTCCCCTTCTTAGTGAACAGTTCTGAACTTCGAAAATAGAAATTAGCTTCAGAAATGAAAGGTCCGAAATTTGAGGTCAGGTAAATGTCCTATTTACTTACTTGTATGAGAAATGGTTCTGAAAGGCCCATTATACACCAGAAATATTTTTATGTCTTTAATTTTCTGTGTCCTGTTATAACTAACATAAAAATTTACACATTTGCCAATTCTCTGAGCAATCTTTTGCTCTTGTTGATTTTTTGCAATAAGTACAGATACAGTGATTTTGTATAAAAGTCAAATACTACTTTCTTGTCATATTTTCCTACTTTTATGACAAAAAATTCTCATTCAGCTCTAATTCTTTTTTTATTAGAGCAATTTGACATACTCTAAAGCAAATATTTGAACGCCATGAAACTTACGTATGCCGTTAGCATGTATTCGTTTCAATGGCAAAGTGTGCTATTAAGTAATAAGCCAATATATGCCAAAGAAAGAATATATGCATGTATTTCAAAATTAAAAACAATTACCGTAAATATCCGATATCTTAATGCAAATAATTTCGCTGTGTTCTACCATTTGACTTTTCTTTTATGTACAGATTATACAGACCTTCACAATTAAGTAACCGGTTAAAGAAATAATAACGCAGTTACCCAGTTACGTACCGATTGAAGTTTGATATCAAGATGCGAAATTGATACACGTATCAAGATAAAATCAACGGTTGATATCTTTATAATCTTAAAGAAATTAAACCTCTTATAAACTTGAGGTCTGTTCTATGCTTTGGTTTATCTAGTCATAACTTCCAATGAATCAATCTCAATTTATTATCATCATGTTTCAGATGCAGATATAACTTGTAAATCTAAGCATTATTGTCGTCCCGAACATACAAATTATGATAATTAGGGTAGATCACATTTATCTTTACAAACAAATGTTTCTTTTAAAAAAAGGTCAGGGTGAAAGAGTTTGCAATAGAGCTCAATTTATTGCAAATACGTTTTTGAATTTCATCTGTCAGTGCTTATCATTTCGATAATAAGAGATGACTGTAAAGAGTGAGCGGTACATGAAAAGCAAACAGTGCGCAGAAGTTAAGAGTATTTTAACTAACCACGTTTTGATGCACGTTTGTGTAGCAACTGTTTTTAATGGATAATTAAAGATTAATGATTAAGATATGTCTACTTTACAAGAATATACTTTCTATACTTAAGAATAGATTTTAAGTGTAAAATGTTACCTCTCTAAATATAAAATATACAACTAGTATGTAAGCTATTAATATTTAGTCTGTATTATGTTAAGTAAGACAATTATTAATTTATGTAGATACAGATGTGTACAAAAAATCAAGTTGAAATATGCGCATATTCACCACGGTAGTATGTGCTGTTGTGTTATCCGTCAAAAAGAGGAGAAAACTATATTACTATACAACTTTACTAAGCATTAATGATATACAAGTGCTTTTAAGAAGTGAACATAACTCCTTGTACCTGTACAGCTAATTCACAAACGAACAACCTTCCAGTAATAAATGCTACACGTTAATAGCAACTTTTACTAATAAAGTCAATGGGTTCATTATTATTATAACATATCCTGTTATGTATTATATGAGCACTATTTCTAAACATCAAAATTTAAATTGTAGAAACATTTGCATCTATTCTTTTTTCCTTTCTGTTTTATGAATGTTTGAATCAGCAATCTTGAACATATTATGACAGTGTGTAATCTATTTTGAAATGAAACAACAATTTGAAGGAAAAATCGGATGTGAAGGCATATTAAAGAAGAAATGTTTCATAAACTTTGTAGCCTTTCTTGACTGCATAAAGAGAATTAAAATCAATCGGATTTTGGTTAAGTAAGTAAAAGATTATACTGATTACTTTTGATTTATGCAAAAAGGTTCCTCGTAGGACAAAATTCACAAATAGGAAATTATTCAGACAAGAGTAGCATATAAATGAACTACCTATTCAATTTTTTTAAAGATAAGCTGCACATACGACTTTGATGATAAATTATATCGATATAAATGTAAAAGAGATAACTATATGCCAAAATGAGGATATACCTTTTAAAATGTTTCTGTCCAGTTTATAAGGTTATACATCTACAATGTATACTCATAACAAACTTTATTTATTTAAGCAAAACTGAATCATTTTCAATACTGGCGAATAGTTTTTGTTGAGAAGTATCAAA